TCTCAGGCAAAACATATGGAGCGTGTTAATCCAAAAGTGGTGCAAAGCCAAGCACAGATTTCATTTAATTTTGTTTTCACTTATTTAGCTCAAAGACATCCTTACGGATGCAATAGATGAGCGAGGGTTTTACAATGGAGGAAAAAGCACACTATAAAAAAATTCTATAAAAAAATGAGAAAAAAAAAAAACGAACGACAGAGTAGCAAAGTTCACATTATCTGGTTCAAACATGGTACCACATCACCATTCACATTCAAGCATAATCAAGAGTGCAAATTTTGAAGTTCTAAAGTCAAAAAGCCTATGGTAAATCTAAAAGAAAAGCCGTGAAAAGCAATATAAACAAATATCACGCCAGAAATTCACATTGGCTGATCCACACAGCACAACATTATTGGCCACGCTCAATGATTCTAGGTTCTAGAGTACATTTAAAAACCTTTGTTCACACTTCTTTTCAAACAACACCTCATCTTGTTGGGCTGCAACAGATTCTGGCAGGGTGTTCCAGTCGGAAATGCGCAATAACAACAGGGATGAAGAAAAAAGATTAGTACGAGCTGTATAAGGTTCCACTTTCTGTGCATTATCAACTCTGGCTAGATATGAACTATGGGTCCAGAATGACTGTTTGAAGGTGAAAGCCCTGTAATAAAGACGATGAAAAGAATAAAAACGAGAAATCTTTCTTTGCATTTCTAGAGAAGATAAACCGATATTTTTTTTTTATGCATGTAACGCTGGTATGATACGAATAATTTCCAGAGATATATCGCGCAGCTTTGTTTTGCAGTGCTTCAAGACTTTTCACTAGGTTTTTTTTATGGGGATTCCAGGTTACGTTTGCGTATTCAAGCTTGGGGAGAACGATAGCTTTACAAGCAAGCAGACGCGTACCCTGGGGTGCCTGGTGCAATGTACGCCTCAGAAAGCCAAGTTTCTTTGATGCGCTCTGTGAAATGATTGATGTGTTCGTTCCAAGTTAAATTATGCGTAACGTGAACGCCTAAATATTGATATGACGTGGCAACTTCAAGTTCAAGAGACAGAAGGTTGTATTGGATCGATTTCACATCTGACATTTTGGTGACTGACATGTGCCGACATTTTCTAGTATTGATGTTGAGTTGCCATTCCACGCACCATGTGCCAATTTTGTCCAGGTCATCCTGTAGGGCGAGACTATAACTGAAGTTGGCTCTTTTCCGATATAACACGCAGTCGTCCGCAAACAACCTGATGGTGGACGTTAAGGTTGATGGGAGGTCGTTGATGTATATCAGGAATAGAAGGAGTCCTATAACGCTGCCCTGTGGGACACCTGATGTGACCGGACATTGGGATGAAATGGTGTTATTTAATCTCACTGACTGCGTTCTACCAAGTAAAAAAGGCTGCTATCCAGTCTACAATCAAAGGGTCTATTTGAAGGTGCGAAAGCTTTAGTAGTAAGCACCAATGCGGAACTGTACCGAAAGCCTTAGCGAAGTCGATGAAGATGACGTCAGTCTGGAAGCCAGCATGGGTGTTGAAGTGCAGATGAGTGCTAAATTCGAAAAGCTGAGTATTACATGCGTAGTTTTTTCTGAAGCCATGCTGATTCGGAAAAATGTAGTCATTCCTGTCGAGGTGATTCATGATAGCTGAAAAAATGACATGTTCCACCACTTTGCACGGGACGCTCGTAAAGGGGTATTCACACGAGGGAGAAATCCCGGGGATTTCTCCCCGGCACGCGCATCCCACGACGAAAACGTCAGGCTTTGCGATGTGCAAAAGTCTCGCGTTTTCATCTCGTGATGCGCGCGTGCCGGGGAGAAATCCCCGGGATTTCTCCCTCGTGTGAATACCGCTTAAGGGATATAGGACGGTAGTTGGAGGGGTCGGATTTTATGCCCGATTGGAAAATTGGTTGAACGATAGCAAAATTCCAATCTGTTGGGACGATACCTGTGTCAAGACTTTGCTGAAAAAGTAGAGAGAAAACAACAGAAGCGTAATTATTTACCATTTTTAATATTTTGAAGATATTTTATCGTCACCGGCAGCACAGTGGGACGGGAGCTTATCGATAATTTCATTTGGTTATGCCGCTGCTTGTAAACGAAAGTTGAGACATGCGCACAAAGTGGAACCATGGGGCCGAAGGAAAAGGGAACGTCTCCTGCGTGAATACTGTCGAAAAAAGCTGTTCAACAAATGTCCCGCATCACTGTTGCATAGGCAGTCACCCTCCTGGTTTGTAAACAGTGGACTACATCGAGTTTCACTAGGATTTACAATTTTCTAAAATTGGCCGGGATCCTTCATTAAAACATGTAACAATTTATCTCCGAAAAATTGCTTTTCGCTTTATTTATTTTTTTATATTGATTGACCAAAGACTATGTTCAGACTAGTCACCGTCCCTGTTAGTTCTTTTTGCCCTCTGAAAGAGCCATTTTTTAACAACCGCTTTAATGCATTTGTTAACCATGGCGATAGCGAGTCTGATCCAACAGTAATTTTTGGAATATTGATTGACACTATAATTTGTGAAGTTCGTGTTTAATTAGAGTCCAGTTTTCTTCTACTGAGCGACCTAGATAATGGTGTATGAAATCTTGCAGAAAAAGATCCAGCGACAAATTCATAGCATCAATATTCGCCTTGGCATAGTTAAACATCTGCTTGCGATTATTTTCTCGGTTTTCAAGAGAAAATGTTGTTTGAACGTGGATAATTGCGTGATCGCTAATGAAGTCAAGAACATTTATGGTGCTTACATGGTTCCTATTGTTAACAAGAAATAATCTAAAATCGCGTCACCGCGGGTAGGGGATTTCACAAGTTGGTGCAATCCAAAACAGTCTACCAAGGCAAGAAAATCATTGCACTGAGCGGGATTTGAACACTGCGTGGACGGGCTGAGAGTCGGCCAGTGAATTCCGGGGAAATTAAAATCACCTGCTAATATTAGGTCATCATTTGGGTAGGATTCTGTTAAGTGCCCCAAAGACATGGCGTCATGAAAGTCACTTATATTTGAATTTGGCGGCCGATAACAAACACCAATTAATAACCTACGATAACCCAGCTGAAGACGTACCCACATGGAGTCGAGCAAGGAGTCGGAAGATATTACTGTACATTTTAGGTGGGACCTTATAGCAATAAGCTACACCGCCACCCCTTGCACTAAGGTTATCTTTTCGGTATACATTGTACTCTTTGCTCAATGTCAGCTCCTTATCGTCTACGCATGATGACAACCACGTTTCACTTCCTATGATAACGTCCGGTTCGCAAGGGGCGGTGATGCATTCAAATTCTACCTGTTTAAAAAGCATGCTACGAAAATTTACCACAAAACAAAAAGACAAAGTATTCAACAGAAGACTTGCACACGTTCCGGCCGGGGTTGTCAGTCGTCTGCACGGTGAACTTCACGTGGCCTTTGAATTGGAATGACGGTTCCAGCAACGCTGTCATATACGTATATTTCACTGCCGACATGTAATTTATCAAATGACAGCTTGTATCTAACATGCTGCTCCCTAAACCGAGCGGCAAACTCCAACAGCTTCTTTCGCTCGAAACACACTTTTGGAGAGAAGTCCTTTAAAATCCACACGATACACTTTTTTTTTAATTTTGAAGCATCATGGAGTACATTATTTTTGCTTTTAAAACTGAGGAATCTGACAATAATGGGACGCGGTTTGAACCGACGCGTTTTGGCCCAAGAAGATGCGCTCTTTCAATTCCGCCAACGTTTGGCGTGAGCTTATCTTTGATGAAATTTGATACCAGTTGTTCGGTGTCATTCCAGGTCTCATTTTCGCGTTCAGGGAAACCGTCGAAGATCAGATTGTTCCTGCGCATCTGGCCATTCAGGTCGTCCAAGATGCCCCTTAATACAGAGAGCTGCTCATGCGCACTCGCAGACTCCCGCTCCACAAGATCAAGCGTTGCAGTGACACAAGCCAAATTTTCTTTGATTTGCCCGATTTCAGTAACTTTGGCCTCAAGACTAGCCACACGACTGCCCAGGTAGGCAATGCCCTTATTAATTTCATTTAGCTTGCCGATACTTTCCCTCTGGTTTTGGTTGCTGGCTATTATTAGGCTATCAATAGCTTCTTGCAGTTTGTCTATATTTTAACTGTTTGTAAGACCGAAGCCGGGGTTTAGCTCAACGTCGCCGGCTGACGTAAGTAACAGGAAAATAACTGTAAGAACAGCAAAGAGTTTGAAGTGGCTGAACAAACAGAAAATAATCAACAGCTTCGGCGGTAACTGACAAGACTTTCTTCTCGAGCACATTGAAAACCTTCCGATACGAATCCGGTAGGTTGCGACGTCAACACAGATTGGTACACACTGGTGGGATTTGCAGCCAAAGGGAAACTTGAAATGTATTACAAATACTGAAGTTTACGCACCTGCGAGAGATTATTGATTCGTTTAGTGCTCTGGCACTGTTGGCTGCAAATCCCGAGGAGATGCTTGTGTCACTCTTTTTTTTAGTCATCTGATGTGGTCACATGTTGATGACATGTTGACCAGCTTTCTTGACGATGACGGCCACCGGCGCTCCGCGCTTGAGTGGTAATTCTTGAATTCACGAAGTGCGTGACAGGCAGAACGCTGTCTAGAGGGAGACACCACTTTCCGCGCAAGAATAGCCGGGGTTCCTGCGAGAGATTATTGACACGTTTAGTGCTCTGGCACACTTGGCTGCAAATCCCGAAGCGATGCTTGTGCCCATCTTTTTTTGTAGTCCTCTGATGTGGTCACGTATTGAAGACGTGTTGATCAGCTGTCTTGACGATGACGGCGCGGAGAAAAAAAATCACCGTCGAGATTCAGAGCAATTGACTTTAAAAAATTCCAGAGGCGCGACTTTTCCTAACAGCCTCAGGGCACATAGATTGTTTCTGAAAAGTGAAATTAATAAAAAACACGGAAAAACGTCCTTCGCTCCTGTAGATCACCAGTGAACCCCGGCCTTCACCTCAACGCGGGAGGCGCTCGCTCAGGTCGGCAAAGACGAAAGCGACAGCTGCCCAGAAGGCAGTGCACAGGTCCAGACTGACGGGATCCTCGACTATCATTGTGTCACCGTCTGTGTGATGGAAGTAGAAGTACTTCTCGTTGGCTGTGAGCAGGGAGGCCCCGGGAACACCACTGTGAACCCAGAACTGGATGTCCGGCCCCTCGTTACCAAGCACGAGGTTGGTTGCGTTGATGGCACCCATAAGATCCAACACGTGCTTGACCATGCAGCGCGCTGTTGGATTCGAACTAGCCAGTACGAGACCCAGGGGATTGAAGGTGCCCATGTCAGACTCCATGATGATGTTCATGTTGGAGGCTTCTTTCTGGTGGCGCTTGTAGTATGCCCGTGCCCCCCAGAGGCCCTGTTCTTCGCCTGTCCACAGCACGCAGCGCAAGGTCCTCCGTGGTCGGAGGTCCATTGAGCGCAGCACCCTCAAGGCCCGCCAGGAAATAAAGGCACCTCCACCGTCGTCCATGGCGCCCTGGCCCACGTCCCAGGAGTCCAGATGACCACTCACCAAAACTACCTGCACCATTTAAGACACACCGGGGTTGCCGTCGGCGATACCCACAACGACTTTTTTGGTCGACACTTATTCACCGGACGCCATATTTGAGGATGCTCACAGCGCATGTTCGGCATGAGTTTTTATGTATGGTTTCCCAAAGAGGACAATCTTAATGGTGTTCAATGTGCGTGTTGGAAGCGTTGTGGAAGCTTGCCGTCAACACATGCTCAGCAGCAGCGAGCTCAGCTGTGGCCCCCAGTGATATATCACCTATTAGGTTTCCAATGTAATGTTCGTATACTGTGTCCCTTTTGAAACATTATGATAAACTTGTTTCTTAAGATAAAAAAAAATAGAAGTGCCTTCATAGTGTCAGTTTGGACTCATAAGATGCTATTGCCTAAAATCCTTAAACGCAAACGCTTTCTTGTTCGTATTTAGCGTGATTGGCTGTGCACTTTCCAAGAATGTACAACGTATGTTTTAGTTTATCGCAATCTCTAAAATTATAAACTTTACACGCGTAGTTTTTTAGGTAATCCCATTTAGGAGATTCACAGCTCCGTGTCTATTGCAAATATTCTGCCATGGGCGACAATTTCAGTCAGTAAGTGTGCATCCTGTTGCTTGTCGTGCGCCTTAACGGGGTACGGAAACGAAATGTTAGCTCTTATTTCTTTGTTTAGATGAGAGCGGCTGTGCAGGCAGCCTAGACACACTAGCCTAGTAGGTGGATGGTCCTGGGCTGCTGGCAAAAAGAAACAAAAAAACCAAGAAAACAAGTTTTAAAACAAAATTGAGTCTGGTGACGATTTGTGAAACTCCTTTAGAATGCCGCCAGGTGGAGCAGCGTCTGTTCGCGACAGCATGGCTCACTTGTGAAGTTATTTACTCCTGACTATGACTTGGCGGAGAACGCTAACGCGTTTCTTGCGTTGCATATGTTAAAGCCTCCACAGTGATTCCGCAACGTGCATTCCACACCCTCAAGATCGTCGTTCTTTGCAGACGCTAGGAGGTTGATCGGAGGATGTGGGAGCCAGTGCTATAAGCCAACCAAACATTAGGAATCGAGGGAGGGGCATTCAGAAACTCTCACATTAGCATTTAGAGAGAGCATTTCAAAAAAGACTTTCCTCGCTTTGTTTACGCAGTGACTGTACCTTCCCTGTGTGCGCGCTTGAGTTTCAATGCAATCTGTTCGCAACTGCCGGCATGCCGGCAGCAGTAGCGTCCTCCGACACTTCTTAGAAAACAAGAATAACCGGACAAAGCTCACCGGACAAAAAAGCTCACCCGTTTTTTTCACAGACCTGGACAAAAACCCACCAATTTTATTTGGCTACGGGAAACACGGGCTAGGCTAAAGTGCGAATCGGATGGACATTGCACAATTTTTAGGTGAACTGGTATCCCATCCCATGGAACCCTGTCGACAGGTATGGTATTTGGATGAGTTTTCTCTATAGTTCCCTGCTTACCGATAAATCTGATAAAATCCGAAAAACACCGACTGGTAAAACTTGAGGCAATTCGGATTTATCCGAAAAACTCTCAATGTCGAAGTCATGAAGGCAAAATAAAAAGCAAACAAGACGATCTTTTACGAATAATGTTTGTTCAGTGCAATGGGCCAAGGTCCTCCTGGACCACGATAAAAGCCGCTGTTCCGATTTCCAGTTTGGACCATACTATGTGTGCCTCTTAGAAGGAGGAGGGGTTGCGTTTTTATAATGGTGAAAGATGCGAATCTAGATTTTATATGATGGGGAGTGCAGCTGAAGGTTTTATGCGTGTGTGGCTATTTTAAAGTATCGATGTTGATTGTAATAACGCAGGTTTTAAAGATTCGTCGTGGGACATGCCAATCGCAAGGGCGCCCATGCTGAATGCAGCTGCAGAAATATCTTTCGATACCGGTAAGTATTTTTTAATTAATTTAGTGTACGTCCTTGTCCGGACATTTTAAATTTTTATTTTGACTATAATAACAGAGTAAAATAAAACTCAACATTTCTGAGAATGGGGAATCCAACAAAAATAAACCCCGATAAACTCCGAATTTCCAGCGAAAAAGATACTCCGAAAAGTGCCCTCCGAATTTCACAAAAAAAAAAAAAAAAAATAAACTGCGGAAACACGGAAGCAACGATTTTGGACCAAAATTGAGGTCACCGAAAATTCCAGGTACACAGAGATCGCCCAAAACTGCTGGAGGCAGTAGGGCACTGCATTTTACTTCTAAGCAATCGATAAATAAACTTATTTCCACTCTAGTCAACAAACCGTGTGCGTGTCTGATTTAATTTATCGTTGCAGTTTAGTATCGCACGCACGCACCTAAGTTGTCTGCGCTCGGGATAAGACGAACATCAAACTTTCTCCTGCTGAGCTTCTGTCCGGTGAGCTTCTGTTCGGGATTGGGAAATAAGAGGGAAAGGGGGGGGGGCTTAGTAAAGGCAACACAAGGAAACTGAAAGATAAAACAAAGCTTGGGACAGTATGGCGTTCTAAGAGTGAACGCACGCACACTATCTGGTTAGAAAACAGCATAATCTAACACCTTCAGTTTAGGAAGTTGGTCGACTCTCACAGTCTTGACGGAGATTATTTTTGCGGGTGTTTGGCGGCGGACGCTAATTGTCGGAAACGTGTCTAGTGTTGTAGGGACCACGTCTGGGCAAATCTTCGCGACGTCATGCTCTGGTTTCTTGATATGTTCTTGTTTTGGTGTGGTTAAATAAACTCAGCTGTTCTTAAGATATTGTGTTGTCCGTTTTTTTTTATTCCTCTTAGTTTTATGGTTTTAAGTTATGACGACTTTATACACCCTGCAATAAAGCAGCACCGTTGTAAACACTTTCTCGGTTATAGAGGATATCTCTTCGGAGCCGACGTCGTGTGGCGAAGTCAATTTGCTCAATTTGAGTGAAGGTTGGTTGTCGCTTTTCTCAATTGAAGGTCATATGTTACTCAATATTTTGTTATCACAAGTTATTTCTAGTTACCGTAAAGAGATAATGATAGTTTAAAAAAATAAAAGATGGAGTTGTTTTTTGTTTTTTTTTAATATTG